CGCGCGGACGCTGGCAAGCTTCCTAGGACTGTAGAATACAGCTCCGCCGTGCCAATTGTCGCCCTCTTGAGTAGTCAGTGTTGTTGATTTAGACGGGCGGGACCTTATAAGGTTGAGTTCAGCGCGTAGCTCCGCGTTTTGGAGGCGGAAAAGCTCGTTGTTAACCTGCAGCGAGTGTAGGCCTTAGGACAGCCGTTTAGCTTTAAATTTGGCCTTGTCAGCCACCGCAGCGTTAAAAATTTTGCGCAGTTAAGGCTAGGTATCGCTATCGCCTTGCTCTCCAATTCCTGGCTCGTCATCTTATTGTTGTGGTTGGTTGTTGAAGCGTTGAAGTACCGGGTCTGCGTCCATCAGCTATACGCCTGTAGCTTTAAAAACTCTTTAATATAAGATCGTGAGTTATTATAGAGCTCTAAGCCGGCCAAAAGTTGCTGTAGAAGTCGCGTTTAGTAATCCTTAAGAGGCCTTAGGTTCGCTAGAGGCGTTAGGTAAGCTCCTCGGTGTAGTGCTTCGAAAGCGGCGAAAAGAGCACGACATCCAACGGCTGCAAACTGTGTGTAGAATGTAGTGGATACACTATAACTATAATGCGTTTGGCTTCACAATACTCCAAAAAATCGGGCGTGAGGTGGCTGGCGTGGCCGTCAAGGATTAGAAGGCGCTATTGCCGGCGAGCTTTGGCTGCTGTATAGCGTTCGAAGACCTGTTAAAGCTAGGCAAGTCTTAAATTATTATTTAACCATCCCAAAGCTGAGTGGGATACGAAAACCTAGTATTTTTCGGCCAACAGGTCGTCAACCTAGCTTAATTGAACCCTAGAGATGCCCTAGTAGATGAGAGCGGGCGGCAATGCCTCTCCAGAAGCGCATACGCAAGCCAGCAGCGTTACCTATTCTCTGTTACTATCTCTCATCGCCGCGGTACGCTCCTTTGACTCATAAACTGCCTTAGAGAAGATCCTCTTCCTGCGGTGGGCGATACCAACAAAGAAGCCCTTCTGATGAAGGTGGAGAAAACGTGCGTGAACTTGTTGTATTGGAGCTACGGGAGAAGGGAGAATATCTATGGTGCGCGCACGGAGCAGCTGACTAATCAGTGCCTGGCCAATCAGAGCACGGGAAGCCTGATTCACCGTGAATACTAGTGAAGGCTCTCACCGCGTCTCGACACACCCCCACAGGACCTGATAGTCCTGCTCTATCCACCTTTGTTGTAGTCCTTTGTTTCGATAGTTGGAGTCGTAAGGCCTAGCTGTTGTAGATACCTGCTGTGGGCTTGTCGTTCAAGAGGTTTCGTGAGGCCGTCAGCAGCCATCTCATGAGTTCGTACATGCTCTACGTAGAGGTTGCCGTCGCGGACTTGATCCTTGATGTAATGGTAGTAGATATCGACGTGCTTTGTACGCTCGTGATGACCCTCTGAGTGTAGTAGCTGTATAGATGGAGCGTTGTCTCCGTAGATAACAGAGATGTCAACAAGCAAGTCAAGCTGGCTTGATTCTTATCGATTGCAGATCACAGACAATATAGAGGCTCGTGCACAGTGGCAC